GGGAGAGGGAGAGGGAGAGGGAGAGGGAGAGGGAGAGGGAGAGGGAGGGAGGGGAGAGAGAGAGGCTTGGGCAACAAATGCGATTGTGGTCACAGCCTTGTCCCATGAGTTTTCTCCTTTTCGAGTCCCCGCTGGACACAGAACTATGCAGCGGCTCAGCCTTTTGTTGGCACGCCGGGTTTTGAAGAAGTTTGGCCTGGAGGAGAACTTAGCACCGAGTGCATTGGAAGTGAGCCTACAAATGGAGAGAGGGAGAGAGGGTGGGGAGAGAGGGATGAAGAGTCGGGTCCTGGTTTTGTGTATAAAATTGTATAAATCATCCAAGGACTGGCCCAACTCTGTCCTCCGGCCGTGTGTTCACGGATCTGTCGTTGGACCATCGCCACTTCCTCGCAGCTGCCCTGAGTCGAACTCACGACTAGTTCAGATCCTCAAAAGTCCACAGAGTCAGTAAGTCAGTGATAGTATAGAGGTCCAAACAAATAGCTAACTTTATCCAACCTCTAGGCCATTCAGTGGGTCAACACATTGTCAAAACCAAGCCCCTAAGTCCTGGTCGCTTCTATGTCAGTGTCCATTTGAACCGGACCGGTCACTTGTGTGGTCACTGGGAACACGAGTCCATGGCGCGAGTGAGCAAATGGTAGGCGTTCCAAGCAAAGCATCCTGTTCAAAAAGATCCTGCAACACCTGAGATGAGAAAACAACCAAGCTACAGTAGCATCTTGGTGGCTCCAAGGTGGTGCAGCTTCAACATCTTCAACAAGTTCAATCCGTCCAGTGGGATCCTCAGCGAGGATCAACGACTTGTGGATCTTGGTGCGGCACCTCCTTCGCGTCGCAGGTGGGCTCCCCGAACGCCAGGTAAGGCCTTGGGAAAGCGGAAAACCACGGATTTTGGGACATTTGCTGGGGGGTTCGTGGCACCTGGAGCTGAGTTGCCCGCTGGCAGCGCACTAGTCTAAGTGAATACTACAGGCTGCCCTAGAGTCTAACGAGGAAAACCTCCAGTCAGGTGAGCACTGCCAAAAGACCACCCCTTTGAAGCACCAGAACGTCGAGTTGTTGCATCCAGTAGGGGGGGAGTCGTGCACTAATTTCAACCCAGTTGCTCGCTGGCATTCGCTTCACTTGTTTGCTTTCCAAATAGGCCAAAGATAATGTCGTGATGCGACTTTGTTTGCGATGAGCTATGTGAAGAAATGTTATTTGCATCAGCAGTCTTGAAGAGCGTCCGGTAGTTGTGCGAGGGTCCAATGAGTTCTTGCCAGCTTTTGCCTTCCAGAGCTTTTGTACTAGCTTTTGTACATGCTGTGTGCAGCTTGACTTTCCCTTTCCATCCCTTCCGAAACCAAAAGAGGAAATGGACCCGCAAAAGGGCACGTTGTCCATCCATCATGTGCCTCAACCATGAGGTTGTGGATGCTGTGGGGTGTAACAAAAGGCAACAAAAACTTGAACGCCTGGAAGAGTTGACTTGGGCAAACACTTAAAGGTTGAGTCAACTTCAAACAACAGGTTTTGGAAGTCAACACTTGAAGTGGCCAGAAACTCAATCACCTGGGAGGCCCACTAGGTTTGTAGGGCCCTTTTTAAGGTGTGAGCGAAACTTCGAAGCAGCGAAGCACGTCGTTTCACTTCATGGTTTTGTTTCGCTCAGCTTTCTCATCGCTTTTTTCATCCAAAAGAGATGACTCTTTTGAAGCATCCTCGCAAATAAACTCAGCCTTTGGAAGTTCCTCAAGTTCCAACAAACATCCTGAGCTTCATATGGTCACCAATCAGGACACCTTGAGAACCAAATGGATCTAAAGATGACACGTGTTGACTTCCCGGTGACTTCAAATCACTTCGCAAGGACTGGTGTTTTCCCATCCAGTGGCTGCACAAGTACACATGTCAGTGGCATACCACGTGGTGATCCGATTGGCGACCACGTGGTGATTGAGTCCCACGGGGCCAAGTGGCAAAAGCCAAAACCATCGCAAGCTCCAGCTCATCCTGGGGTCGCGGCCAGAGCCAGGAAGATGAGATTGACACTGTTGGGGAGCATGGGTCAAAAGCTAGAGGCATAGAACACCCTGACATTTTGTCTTCACTTAATAAGGGAATGCAAACAAGTTTAATTTGATGAATGTGTTGGGCCCCAGGCCCAAGACGCTTAGCCTCCTGTACAGCATCAAACTGAGGGTGTTGATTCTTTGGGCTCCAATCATTTGTGTTGCCCAGCAAGAAGCTTAGCTCATCCCATACAACCAAAAAACATGCGTGACAAAAAGACTTGAAACGTTGTCTTTTGGGAGAGGGAAGCCACTCCCAAACCCAGTTGGGTGTATCTCAAAAGAGGAAAAACCTCTCAGTTCGACTCCCTGACGCGTGGATTGACGACGAGGAGTCCCCGACATGAATGGGCACGTCTGGAGGGGGCCGTGTCATCCCCCAGCGTCCCTCTGACTCCACTCCCCAGTAAGTGAACGCAGCCTTTAGGAAGTCATCCCCCAGACTCCAAACACTCCACGTATGGCACTATTGGGGTGGTTCATTTCAGGGGTCAATGTATGCAAATTTGCCAGTATACATGGAGTCTCTGGGAGATACACATATAGTACTACATATAGTATCGATCACGGAGAATGGACCTTCGATTGGGGCCTTTGGTTGAACTGATCAGCAGTTTTGGGCGTCTATTGCCTAATTGTTATTAATTTTTCAGCCCATTACACGGTGGCAAAAGAAAATACTATATAGATAGATGTTGATAGGTGATATGTGTCAATCCCAAGACCGTGCAAAGATTCGCACATTGACCATGAAACAGGAACAGGAAACAGGTCTCAACCTTTCTAAAACATCCACTGCAAATGCTCAATTTTTTAGAGGGAAGCATGGTCAGGGAGTCAAGCCCCGTCAAAGAAGACATGTCGTCGACATGTTGTATCACCATGTATCACCGGATTGCCCAGTCCGTGCTTTTCAGTATCAATGACACCAGTCACACCCCATGGACATGCTTCTCAGGTCCGAGGTTTTCCTTCCTAAGACTCCCAACACAGCCGTACGCACCGCGAACAAAACATATGTCTCCCAGGTTCGGCATCAGCGGTCTTCGCGGTGTTCGCCTTCTCGTACACGGCAGGATCAACAAACAAACCCGTTCAAGTGCTTGAGTTTCAGCAGCTGCGAGCACTTGAGTTGAGAGTGCTTTGGTTCTGGTGCGTTGCGCCTCAGTGCACTGGGAGTTGACGGGAGAGTTCCTGAAATTGCAAAACCTTCAAACACTGACACAAACAAATCAAATCCTCAAATAACACAGGTGCCTGAACTATAGTTATAATATATTCTTCAATCTTCTTCACGAGGTGCATATCAAATCAGCAAACCCTGGAGCACCTTCGAAAAAAATCAAACAACAAACACTGCATCTGAATGCAAGCCCGCCACTCCAACTGAGGACTTTTGGGCTTGATGGTGAATCCTCTCTAACCATCGCACGCATGAGCTCGCATGAGCTTTGAGTTTTTTTGTTTTCACGTACGTAACGTAGGGGGTCGAACAGAACGTGTCTTCACAAGGGAATGGGACTTGCTTTTGGCCGAACGTGCGGATGTTCCATGATGTTCCGAAATCACCTCCGATTCGGCTTGACAAAAAAAGCTTTCCGCACGCGTTGATATGGGCGACCTCGGGTGCCCCCACAACCAAAGTAACAAAGGCCACCACCAGGTTCAGGTGATAGCTACCTTAGAAACATCCGCTCCTTTCGCGAGCGTTTCAGGGGACAGGTCTAGTGGTCGGGTCCAGCCCGGTCACGCGACCCGTTCCACGCGACGAACCCGACCGGGTCACTCGGTCCGGACTCGGTGTCTGGGTCTCTTGGACTCGGTTTCAGGTCTGTTGGGTTGCGACGTTGGTGGACTGTGAGGTGCTTCGTGGGAGGCAAAGATGGTTTTATCATCCAATAGCGTTTACAGTATCTATGTAACAATGGATCTCATGACTCATGATGGACAAGTGGTTTAAGCCTCAGAGAGAATCAGCCAAGTAAGTTCCTTCTGCTGTTTTGGACTTGAGATAGCGAAGACATCTTTTGGTTTCTTCTGGTTCTGATTTCTAAAAGAAGTTGAACAGCAGCTGCAGCACCTCATGACCGCATTGCAATACTATTCATGTAAAGATTCCTTGGAGGTTGCCAAGTCAGTGAAACACTCAGATACTATTCTGTGACATCTTGAAACACATCAAACATTGATATCCTTTTGGACATAATAGAGTCAAATAGAGGAGTCGATTTGGATCGATTTGGTACCATATTGTCTGTTCAATTGGACTTGGGGGTATCCCTCTATTAATCAACCATTGTCAACCAACCAAATGTTTCTGCTGTTTCTGTCTGCCAAATGTGATGAATCGAGGGGCCAAAGAGCAGCACCGTGGCTTCCACGCACACGGCATACCTCACGGATGGCACAAGCACAGCGAAAACGTGCTCGGGCTCGGATGGCATGTCTTCGGATCGGCTGATCTTGTTTTTTTGGGTCAACTCAACAGACTGCAGTTGTTCCGCGTGTTTGCTTTTTTCTTCCAATTTCCCACCAGGCACCTGACAGAACATGATCCATGATCAACTCTTTCATTTTTGTTCCACATTTTTCCTCTTCTGCCACACTTGCGTCCCTTCGGCTCGCCACCGGTTCAGTTCACTACCTTGTCTGCTGGGTGTTCAAACCACACAAAAAAGAACGCAGGCGCGCGTGTAAAGCGCGGAGCCCGCGTCGCGTCGCACGGGGGGAAAAACGAAAGGAGCCCGCGTCGCGTCCCGCGTGCTCCGCGTCCAAGGAGCCAGTCTGGGTGTCGCCGAAGGTCGCTGGCAGTTTGCCAGCTCGTGGTGATGCGATAGCGGCCCTCGCTGCCGTTGACCTCGGATCCCAAAAAAGGCACCGCGCCCCGTGGCCGTTTGAAGGTCCCGGATGTTTGGTTTAGTGCCTTTCTCCGGGCGCCGGAGAAAAAATTGATATATGGATACATATATGGGAAGGCTTTCAAGGGAACATTTCATCTGTCCGATGTCGAATGCAAAGCTTCGTGGTTCATTGAGTCCGTTGTCACCGGACTCTACCAGATCTACCAGTAATTACCGCTAAGTTCGACCAGCACGTCCAAAGAAAGCTCCATTCGACCTGCTTATGAGGATGGTGTCAACTGGCCATGGGGGTTGGCCACTTAGCCCATTGACTCCCTGCAGAGGTGCGGGGGATCTGTCTTGACCACCTCACCAAGAGTCGATTCTCGCGCCAAGTCACCTCCACTGCACCGGAAAACCTTGTTCAACTGGGATGTTGAACTTCTCCCGACCCCCCCCATTGTCATGTTCAGAGTAGGATGTTTATAGCAGCATACAGTTACATTGGGATTTTGATTGCTTGCAAGCTGCTTGCTACCGCAACAGCACCTGTTCTCGCGCCACGTTCAGCCCTGGCCTACTGGCTGAATCTCAGGCTGAGTCCAGAGGGATGGGTGAACATCTGTTACTCTTCCTCCACACACTCCATCCTTCCTTCAAAAAGACACCTTAGTGCTCCCATGGAAGGATGATATCATGCGAGACACTGACACGGCTCCCGGTTCATGACCAAGAAAGCATGACTCTGGCGGATCCGGTGGAGTCACCGACGACGTGCTCACCGGGTGCTCATGTTTAAGGCGTCCCGGCTCGAAATGAAACCCGAAGTGAGAAGTGCAACATGAACAAACTTTTTTGGACTAGGGATGAGGGAGAAATCTGATGCCTAGTTCACATGAACGCTCGTCTAGACCGGACCAGGACAGCTCCTGCTGACAGCTCCTGCGGACAGCTCCTGGGACCCCAACCCACATGACCTCGCAATAGCCCAGCTCCTGAGACAGATGCAGAGGCTCAACAAACACTCCAGAAATAGACCTGCGGAAGATTATATAACATGGAACCTGAAAATGGACCTGTGAAAGACTCTATGATCTACAAACCAGTGGTTTTGAGGTTCCATGTGGGTCTCTTCCAGGGTGTAGACAAACGGTCCAACAAACCCTAAAGATTGTTCTGCTTCAATGTGCGGAAAGAGGCGCCGATGAGAATGAGGAAGAAGTTGTCGTTGAGATTACAGTGAGCGGACTGGATCAACGTTGATCAACTGCGACAGTGGGGTGGAGCTGGGACACCTTCAAGTTTATAGACCAATGTGAGAAAACAACACTTGTAAATGATCGTTCGTGCGTTTGTACTTTGACCAATATAATAGAAACACCCGGGGAATAAATCTGCCTCAGCAAGGAATCTTTGTGGCAAGACAATTTGAACGTAGCCTTCCAAAAGCCATCACCACAGCGCAAAACGCCAGGTTACCTCTTCCATGATTGCATACCGCGTATCGTTCTGCCAGAGGCGACTATGGAATCCACAAAAGGAGCTTCCCGGGTATTTTAGAGTGGTGTTACTCTGTGGGTGGTCTTTCAGCAAGATAAAACTTCAAATGCAAAGAGTCACACTACGGTCGCCAGATTTGCATGTCAGGCGGTGGATATATTTTCGGTGAAGTGACAGTTCCAGTGAAAAAGACTCGATGCAAACCCAAACAAAATATACTTCAGAGCCCCTAGACTTGACAAATACTTGACAAATCATTGTCTCAGACTAGATTCCTGAAAGGGACAGGATCTTCTATACGTATATATATGTATATCAATAATTGTTAAGTTTCCCTAAAAATCTAGGAGCCAAATCATTAGTGCGAGCGCTATCCTGCGTCCTAAGTAGTAGCATTCTTGTAGCTACTAGCTTCTCCCTTACTCAATTGACTATAAGTGCCTACTTAATTAAACAAGGGAGGGGGGAGCGGGCTAGAAAAAGACAAAGTAGTTACATTATACAGGAACCTGACAATGTCATCCCTCAGTCATCCCTGGTCACCGTTTCAATGCCAAATCACCATTGCAACGCTGGAAAAAGAGACGACTTTCCGCAGAGCCTTCCCCCCAAGACAGGGTAGCAAGTGATGACATTGTCTTTTGCCTGTACATATATATTATAATCAATTTATCAAAAGATGATAGAAACAACATGGGGTTATTCAAGCACCCTTGTTTGTCATCGAGCACGCCTGCCCAGTCGTCACTCGGCTGCCCGAGCAAATAGACAAAAAAAACAATCCCCGGCGAAACAAAAATCACTCCATGTTCGCATCATCCGAAAAAGAGTCTTGTTTAGTCTTGTATATGAAATATATGAAATACATAATGTCCAAGATATTTCAGAAAAGGGTCAAAAAACAACAAAATTTAAAGGAGGCGGTTCATGGGTATCTTCGACGGATCCCAAACCCGGGAAGTACATGAATACCATATTAGAATACCCCCACCAAGCCACCAAGCACTTCCTGTCACCTCATTGACGAACCAAGCTTTTTCCCCCCCGGAACATCCATCACACGCCACCGGAGACCAGTCCTGGCAATCGTCGCAGTTGGTGACGGTGCCCACCATGGAACATCCCGGGGCCGCGTTCTGCTTGGCATCGTCCTTCTTCATGTCATACATCCAATCCTGGTGACCGCCCGGCACGTGGGACACGCGTGTCCCACCGTCCGGTCGAGGGGGGGATCTAGAAAGGTGTGAACGATGCTGTCGGCCAAAGGATCTATCGGTGGGACGATGCTGTCTCGACGGGTTCTTTCAAAATGCATTATGGTTCCCCTATCATTCTCATTCACAGATTCACACATGGAATTTCCAGGTCCACATGGTGCTCCTTGTGAGCCTTCGGTCACATGATCATACATGGTCCAGATGTAGGCCATCCTTTCCAGATGCAACATGATTCCATCTGAGTCGCATCTGCCTCCCTCGACTCGTCGCATCCTTCTACTGGACTACACTGCTCTCGGCACAGGCCGAGCCCTGTCGCCCGGGGGCCGAACCTTGCCGGGGAGGACCTTCATGCCTGGGTGACCAACGGCGGTCCACGGTCCACACGAGCTACGTCCCCTGCCACACGTCCCGCGCCACCCGGCGGCCCTTCCCTTTCAGGGGTACCGGGGTGTATCAATGCACACCCTGATTGACCATTGAGGAGGTCAACAGACTACCTGAGAGGTCAACCTACCAGGGTCACCCGGGCTCCTCCGGGTGCGACCTACAACCAAATGGCAAAGGTTGCGGGGACGATGTGCGAAAAAGAGGGGGCGGATGGGGCGGATCCTTCGGGAAGAAGGTCAGCTCTTCAATTCGATTGTGAGATACTTAGTTGGATGTTGGTGGTTTTTGCATGCCTATGACCGAACTGGAGTTACAACCCCCAACGATGGGTTCTTCCGTTTCGGTTCCCCCCCAGGCCAGAAGGAGCTTACCTAGCTTCTGAACCCCTCGTTGGGCCATGGTATGATTCTCACGCGAGAATCGCGGAGAATCGCGGCGCCCAACGAGGACTCGGTGGAATCAGTTCCAATTGTAGTCATAGATCCATCATGGGTGGAAAGGAACATGAACGTCCTTCCTTTTTCAATCAGTCTCAGTGGAAACAGGACATCAAAGGATCTTCTATGATCTTCTCCACTTCTCCAGTTAAGACCTTCTCTTGAGGGAACCAGAAGACCAGCTCGAGTTGAGTAGAAAACCCTGTACACCTTCCTGATTCCGAAAGACAAAGCCTCAGGTGTCTGGGTGGGTCACTTGTGCCAACCAGCCAAGATACCGGAAACCAACCCGACAAGCTGCAGCATAGCTTACAAAGAAAGTAAATTGAATTGAATCAACCTTGTGACTCTTGGCATTTTGAATAAGTTAACTTCTTGCATGGATGTTCATCATTATGATCCAATGGGGCTTCTCGGGTACTCAAGTGGACCATATGAGCTTTTTGGGCATATGGATATAGGTCAGAACATGTCAGAGTCAAAAAACCAATTGAACTAATTGCATTGGACCCTGTTGATGAACAAGGATGCATGGACACTCTATCTTGGTGCTACTCCTAGGCACGCGGGTTGATCCATTTGCCAAACAGCCTTCCCCACATTGATCACTCCTGCTGGTTCTGACACCCACTCCGACTCCACTGAACACTTTCACGTACTCCGCCACTACTGAGGCTCCATCATGTCATATCTCATATGAGTTGCGGACAAAACCTCTTTGGGCCCCAAATTGTTGGGATCATATGTCATCCTATGTCATCATATCCATATGAGCATCACTTCCATCATACGTCATGTATCATGTCTCCATGGGTCTGTCGCTACTGAGCGCGGGGCCGACTTTCACGTTCTTGGCGGTGACCGGCCTCACGGGGCTCCGGTCCCGACCGGAGACCGGTTTGTTCACCGGTGACCGGTCGTGGCGAGGAACAAGGACTTTAGGGTTAAAGGAGGGGTCTTCAGAAAAAGAACAGAACCATGATCCAATCTACTGCAGTTTTGCGAAACAAAAGAACAATATAGAACAATCATTTATGATTTACCCTTTCGATGCAGCACTGCTTCGCTGTGCGAGCACCGCTCCGACTGTCCGCGATATGATTTACGGGTCAACCCGATGTATAACTTTGCTGTGGGGAATGGACAACCCACGGCCAACCACCGTGACTTCTGCGTGTCGTGACGCCATCGACTTGCTGTGCCTGCCACGGCCGGGCAACTTGCGCCAGCGGCGGCTGAGGAAGAGCAGCACCTGCAGAGTCCGGTCGTTCTCAGCCGACCAGCTACGAGACGCTGGATGGGGGCAAGAGGAGACAAAGAATTGGTTCCAGGCTTGCATTTTGGACATGAGTGGATCTTGATCAAGTCACATGATTCTTGTTTTTGCCGGATATTTGCAAGAGGAGACTTGGGAAACTCTGCAGGTGCTGATGAATGACTGAAACCATCGACGGTCGCAAGAACCTGCAAGGACATGAGCATGGACTACCGGAGCTAGATAGAACAGTCCTGCTGGTGGCAAAGCATGGCAAAGCATCTTCGCAATCCTTTGGACCCCAAAGCAGGCCATCCCTTCATGATCTCGTCGACCAAAGATCTGGCGACAGGATCTCTTGTGGATGCTTGAGAGGTCTTTTCCTCGAAACCTCTCGACCCAAACCTTCAAAACGACCCGATCCGCCGCCTTCGCCACGGTGTCCAGGAAGGAGAAGAAAAGCCTCGCATCGGTCCAAGCAGCCGACCGACGGAGATCTGGGCACCGAATATGAGAAGTTGCAATGGGGCAACCTACATGAAGCCTCAAACATAGAAATGTGGTCAACTTGTGCTGCTCATCTTAGATCTCTTCACCCAACACTCTGCGACACGAAAAGGGACAAAGACCCCATCTCTTCACCCTATGCGCAAACCAAGAAAGCCGCAATGTGCCTATGACCTCCAGTTTCTCGCATGGATTCCCTCTAGCTGTTTCCTACTTTTGACCAGACCCAAACGGAGAAGACCCAGGCTCTCGGGCATACCAGCCAGCAAAATGGTGGAAAAGGAGGTGGCTTTCGCCAGGATCCTGGGAGCTGCGGCGCTGCGGTAGGTGGATTGCGGTAGCGCTGATCCGAACAAGTCCGGTCGAGTTGGTTGGGGCGTGGTTTGGCCAAGCAAGCTGGGAGTGTGGGAGATGAGTAACAGTTTTGAGAAACAGGTTCATAGGATGAAAGCTGATGCAGGTGAAGGTGGGAGGTCTTTGTTAAAAGTGGGGGATTGTTGAATACATGAAGCCGGCAGCTGGAGATTGTTGGTGAGATTCAGGATTCGTGCTAGCGTAGGTTGGGATGACGAGACTCATAGGTGAACAGGATGCTGACGTGTTCTTCCGGAAATACTCCAGTCATCTGGAGGCTGCGAGTGTCCACATCCGTGCCTCTGAATCCTATATTCGATAGTTTCCATGTTCCTTTTATATTCTAGCCTGATGTGTTTAGGCTAGGTCAGCTGAGCTAGGATGAATAGACCCCATCTGGAAGTTCGTGTTTGCTTGAAGTGAGGGGAGCAATTCGTAACACATCCTGCCCCTATGGCTATAGCATGCTGGTGGTCTATCGTGGCTTTTTCATTACCCTCATGGTCATGTCATCCTTTTGAACCTAGAGCCACGGGTGAAATGGTGCATCTCCCGCGAGTCAGCAGTGTCTACAGTCATTTGTGGACATCTGACACTCTATGTATGAAAACGAAACTGTATTATTCTTTAAGGATGAAAAGGATGCTCAACGCTACTAGGAGCAAGGACGCTACTAGTAGCTCCTGGCATCGCTACTAGTAGCAAGAAGCTACTAGTAACAAGGTGCATCGCTACAAACGGAGCAAGGACGCTTGCCACCACAATTCCCCGGACCGCCCATCGAGGGACACCCGGGACAGTCTCCCATGGGCGCCCGCGCAACAGGAAGAAGATCATGATCACCTCAGCGCTTTGGTTACGAAGAGATGCTTCACAAGGGACGGCTTTTGAGAGGACGACCTGGGAACCTGACATGATGACATGTTTCACTTTTGGAACATTGATGTGGAAGGGTCAGATTTGAGCCCCTTGACGAAGTCGCTTAGTTTGCAAAACGACTTAGGTTTGCGCTTGGTGAGACAACACTTGCACGAATCAGTGTAGATGAGACTGCACCTAGCGACATGTTCAGCGAGACTGCCTCCAAAAGACCAAGAACAAACTACAAACTCAGCACTGCTTACTGGTACTGGTACCATTGATAAAGGAAACCCTACACCTAACTGACTGTTGGTGAACAAAACCTGCCATACTTGTATGGAGATCTAGAACCATCCTGGTGTTGGGGGGGTTATATAATCAACAGTCAACATTGAGTTGGAAGCGTTCTCCATATCTCAATAGTACGCCTCAAATTATAGGATTGCGGATCCTGACTCAACTGCTTAGCCGGCTTGCCATGGTCTCTCTTCGTCTCCCTCGCTCTCTTGTGATGTTGCTCCAATCTGGTATGCAAAGAATCCATGGAAGGATCTCTCCTACAGAGTTACCAAACATCTTCACCCTTGCAGTGCTTGCAGACTTGGAACCCAAAGAAGTCCAAACCTCTTCACCCCGCCCGGGCCCGGCACCGGTCCAATCCCATCGAATGACCAAGGTGCCCCGATCCACAATACGTCCACGAAGACACCAAAGGCCAAGACGAGGAAGGCGTGGAGCACCTCCAAGCGATCGGAAACGGGGGGCCGAGGCGCATCCACGGTGGATTCCAGGTGGATCTGAAACCAATGGTGTTGTTCGGCAAACTAACTGCGGTCTTCACGTGATCTGCGGTCATCTGCACGATCCGTGCGACTCGCCGTGCGACTCGGACGGTGAAATCGGTCAGCTGCATCAGTGGCGTTGATGACTCTGTCCTGTCCTCTCTGCTGAGCATTGGGGCAAGCTTAAAGGGAATAACTATAACTTACCTGATGTGTTAACTCACACTGTTGAGTTGTCCAACTCATATTCACATTGTACTGTATTTCAACTTCCAAGGTTGTGAGCAATTAGAAGCGGACCATACGGCCAAGAAATGAGGGAGCATAGCTGAGCAGAACAAGGATTTACGACATTGATGATGTATGTGGCGGCGGTGGTGATGAAAGTCTGGAAAGGCATCTGGAAGGCTGCATGGATGGACCCGTTGCCAGGACTTAGTTGGAGAATGACTACAGTAAGCATTCATTCCGATTCATGGCAATGGACTTGGTGATTCCAAACGTCTTCTTCACTGGTCAGCTACGTGCATTCAACCAACCTTGCTTGCCGAGCGCTTGCACTTTGTCTACCATTGATCAGTGATGATTCTAAGAAGTCAGAAGATCCTGCGTACTATATCTGGCGTTTGAGTTCCTCAGCCAGGCCCCTCTGTGTGCCATCCCATGACCATCCCACTTTGCAACACACAACACCAGCGTCCTCCCGTCGTCAGACTGGGTCCCCAAACCCAAATGAAAAGGCAGAACTCTCCAGCTTCGATCACTGAAGAGGGCCTCCAGCGACTCGCGACGCCACGACCGGCGGAACCAACGACGCGGTGTTCCGCGCCGGGGGGTCGCCGGGGAGAACGACGCGATGGACGGCACCTGGACGAAAGGGGAAGGATGGGGGGCAGCGGGGTGCTGGACACAGAAACACATGGTTTGATGTTTGATGGATGGGGTGTCACCTGGAAGTAGATTGGATTAGCTTCGGTAGTCAAACACCAAAGTGCAAAGAGTTCAAAAGAGGGATGTCAATGGACTTTATGAAGACATGACCATATTTGGTGAACCTAAAGCGTGTCGAAAACAAGAAGAAACACATTTGAAAAAACCATCTGCGGGTCCCTTTCACTCAAATTGGCATTGCAAGTGTCCATGCAGGACAATATAGATCTGTCTCTTGGTTGAATTCCCTTATACCAGCATATAGAGAAAATTGAGGGTTGACATGACTCGGCTGATTCTGAAAGGGGCCGGCAGCCATGTTTGAGACAGACCTGAGACCTGTTTGCACTGCTGCACAGCAGCCTCCTAAAGCAACCCATCAGTGGGCTGGATATGAACACCTTTTCTACAACTTGTGTGAATGCTGATTCACAGGGTGTTTTGATAAATCTGCCATCATCGCAACTTCGTTGATCAATCATGATCAATCCACTTTGATGCTCACAAACCATACACCATACAGGAACATGCCTCATGCTCCTTGGTTCGTCGCGACCCGTCCGAACAAAGGCCGCCTCGTCCACTCGCCCGTGTTTTGGGGGTCCGGGCAAGGTGGCAAAGAGCAAGGTGGTGCGACAAAGGCTCCAGGCTAAGGACATGCAATCGTCCGTGAAGCGGTAGTTGAACCTCGATGACCCAGTTTCCGGTCAAACAGGGTCGAGCGTTTCTGCTTGGTGTGGAGTGACAACGTGTGTAACTGCTCGACACTTCACAGTGGCGATGTAACAACGGCGGATGTCTTCGAAGTGTCCGATGAGAAGAAGCAACAGAATGGCCTAAGAACTGGCTATTCTATTGTATGATAGCTATAATATATATATATATATCAATATCACATGGGTTCCTCTTTAGTTCTTGAAGGGACATGTGCAAACAATATCAAACAATGTTGGAGCCACATACAATCACATATAGAGTACCAGGATTGCCTCCAATTCTGCCTCAAAGAAGATTGATCCCTGAAAATAACACATGCACTGCCCATGAGCACCGTCATAGAGTATTCGTGCATACAGTACGTAGTAGAGTCATGTAGAGTCTGTAGAGTGGTTGGTGCAACATATTGGTCGTATTCGCTGGAAGGTATGAGACACCAACTCGTGGTCAAGGCCAAAGAAACTCGGTGTTCTTAAAGTACCGCCTCCCCCCTGATCAAAGGGACCTACACTCTGCACACCCTGAAACAATCATGGAAGTGGATGGCATGGCCTCTTGGAAGAGCATGTTCGCATGTTCCTCTACAAATGGGTGGCGCCATCCACGTAACCATGTGTGAGTGGCCCCCCAGGGGAAGACCGTCGCATCCCTTCGCCATCTCCCGGATTGGCACATCCCGTCCCCAATCCACCTCCTCAGAAATGATACAGTTAAAAGTTAGGGCCTCCACACCATGGCCTGCCTATTCCTGGCCTGATTCGATGGCTGAGTACAAATAACATACATGCGTGTATTAATAACACTCTGCAAACGGGGAAACAATCTACACCGGGGAGAAAGTTGTTGGCGCAACTCAAAAAAAAATAGCGGGAACAGCCGCGCCATGTAACTCCTTTTTCTCGCTATTTGGCCGTCATAGATGGCGCAACTGGTCTTTGGACTGCAGAAAACTAAAATTCTGCGGGGTGTCTGTGCGGATACTAGTTTCCCTATTTCCCAAAAAACGTTTGGGGCCTATAGATGGCAATGGCCAAGTTCTGTACAATAGTGATTTCCTCATATTTCTTCTTGATTTCCTCTTGCCTCTTGAACTTATTCATTTCCTTTTGATGTCCTTTTGCGGTGGGGCAATAGATGGAGCGGTCCCAATCTCCGCTATTTTCTGCAAAATAGCGCACAAAATCATGCAGAATCTTCCTGTTTTTTAGCCACGGGGCGCATAGATGGCGCAACACACCTGAATGCCCCTGATACCTAAACCTGGCGCAATAAAAAAAGTCACCTCATCAATTTTCCCTGCGGAGTAACATACGTCAAACGCGGAAACGGCCAAAAGTGTGCGGGGGAACTGTTAGTCTGCAAAAACGTCAGCGACCACCAACCGACCATCATGGTAGGTGGGAGCAGATCGACTGTCCGAAGGTTCATGGTGCCTGATCCTGAGTGGATGAGAGCCCCAATCCTAGTGAGTTGCGGCAGTTTCTGTCTATTTTGTAATGGGGCAACAAGAATGGCCAAGTAAGATAGTTGGGCCTATGGCCAAACACCTGTGCAACAAACAAAAAAGACCGTTACACGATCTTCGTCGACGCGCCAAAAAAAAAACCGTTACATGACGATCACATACTTCACCGGATCGAGCAGCCGATTGTCGGATTCCAAGGCAGACTGCAGGAGCACCTGGACGGCTCCCACCGTCGGACTGGTGCGGGTCCAATTCGGCGATACGATCGAAACAGGAGTCAATGATAGGAGTTAGTTAGCTGGTTTTGTTTGGGTCTATAGGACATGCAACATGATGGATAACAATGAACACGAACATGAGGGTGATGATGAGGCCTCGTGACGATGATGAGGATCCAGGATCACGGTTTGGTAGGTTGGCAGCAATGTAGTGTTTAACATGATGCGGCTGATCATCTCTATGAAGGTGGCGATTTCATATTGCTGTGAATAGGGTGGAGCAGTCCTAAGAACTAGACCGCCTAAAGCCACGTGTTTTTTTAAAAGTATATTTTTGCGCTGTACCACAATCCACAGGCCGGGGATGACTTGGGTATCTTCCGGCGACATCCAGCCGCCCATCACACCCAACCACGTGCGCTCTGCAGTTCAAGCGCCCTGGCCTCAAAAAGGTTCCCGGGTTGGCCTTTGGCGCCAGCCTTGGGTGGATCCTGCACAGCGTCTGCGACTTCGTTGGCTCAAAAGCCAGGACCTTTCTTATTTTTTGCCTTCTAAGCCTTGAAATCAAATTTCTATGATTCGAGAGCACGTGCTTAAGGAAGCGTGTATAGAGTACTTTTTTGGGGGGGAGTTGAGGGGAGGATGAGTGCTAAACGAGCATGCGCGGTGGGTCGGTGGGTCAACATGGCCAACGAATGTTCGCCATGACATATATGGGTGTGCAACTTAATAGAGGCACACCCAACCAATGATTCAATGGGTGTTGGTCTATTTTCCTTCTTCCAGGAGGTGTCCGCATTACACACCCAAACTGAGACCTATCTGGCTCCATGCTTTGGATTTCTTTGGGAGGGCTTATGGCAGGGGGGAACATGTCCCGGCAAAGAATAGGATCGATTGGTCGCGGTGCGGTGATCCGGCGGCGGGTCACGAAATCGATTCACCTCCGACACTCTGCAGGCCATGCCATCTCGGCTCCACACTTGGTATCCCCACACCCTTGATGATCTGATGATCACGGGTGGCAGCAATGAAATTGCACGTTGCAGGCCGCAACGAGCCGCCCGCCTTTCTCCTCCCAGCAAGCACAGCCAATCTGGCTATAGGCTGTGGGATGTCTTCCTCTTCTGTTCTTGGCTTAGCTTTCCAATCCTATGGCCTCTTGAACTTGGGTGCCACATGCAAGCTCTGGTCAAAGAAATGTTCTCAAGGCCGCACTCCCAACCAAATCGATCACACTGACGTCACACAGTACAACAACCTTTGGTAGGCTTTTGGCTGCCACCTCGAAGGACTTTTTCTTTGGTGAACAAATGTCTGGGGTTTGTCCACCATTTGCTCTTTTTTTCTTAGGTGAACGGTTTGTCCACCAATTGCCTTTGGTGAGCAAATCCGTGAAGCTCTTGCAGAGTTCATCCTTCAACTCGACGATGAGTTTGTTGAGGTTCAAGGGCTTATGGATGTCGATCTCCACAGAGTGGTAGGACATAGTTGCCCTTTCTTGGCATAAAGCTTTTTGGAGACGCTAACGACAAGAAGCTCGCCTTCCAACAATGGTTATCCCTCGCTCGCAGGAGCGCTTCCGTGGCGTGAGCATCAACATAGCAAGAAACAGGGAGCAACGAAGTGTCAACCATGGCCACAGTAATCTTGGACTTTTTAAGGGGTGCGCATGGGAACTTCTGCGCGCATGCGCCACAGTGCAGCGCATGTCTTCTTAAAACCAATCTCACCATCCAGAGCTCTCCAAAACACCAACAAACTATATGAACAACGATGCGACTTCCCCAACATGCTTCACCAATGGAAGCACATACCAAAAGCAGCTGCCACTTGGCCATGCTTCACACCGAGTCGGAGCAAAGAGTCGGTCGATCTTGGGCTCGCGTGTCTCCATGTTTGGACCGGTATGGTTTTACCATGGACATTAAGCCCTGCTAGTGGGCATGTAGTGGTCATGTCCACTTCTTAGATCGAGATTGTGGTCGAGTCTTTTCATGTCTTTTCACCATACTCCTCAGCTTACTGTAGCTGCTTACTGTAGCTCCAGTCTTGGAGAGCAAAACCCTGATGTGAAAGACATGTCTATCTATAAGGATCCATCCAAAAGACACGTCTTCTCACGTCTGATCCTTCTGGTGCAAATTTGGAGCTTTCAAAGTGAAACCAATTGAAAACGGATCAAACACTCGATCATCTGTTACTCTGCCACTTGCCCCGGTTTTCTTGTCTCAACAGGGTGAACTGACCTGAACTGACCAACGATGAATCCTTCCCCCCATAGTGACGTCGTGCTGGGAAACGAGCACTGACATTCGCCTGCGCCGGCTTATTGCCACTCGCGGAGATCGTGATCCACATCCTGACGGTTTTCACACGAGATGGACCACATCACAGGTCTTGGAGAGATGGAGACATGTGAGAAATACCTTTGGAACCATCCGTGACTGCGGTGTTGAATGAGGTCCACAAGTAGATTCGATGATCCCCGGCTGGTTCTGGCCGTCTCACAACTTTTCAGTTGTCAATGCAGGTGAAGCTTAGTGACACAACAAATCACAACAGTAGGGGTTGTAGTTGGATTTGGAAATCAAATATCTGGATGTTCCGTTTGGATGGCTGCTGATCTCGCCTGTTGGTGGCGTCACATCCATTGTTTGACCGCCTGTTCTCTGCCCACTCAGCCAGGCATTCATATGCATTAATGCAATTGGCGAACCGCAGAAAGGGCCCCCCTTGTAGCTTATATATAGTCATATATACATTGACATAATATATATATATATATATATGTTTAATACGATATAACTTAGTGATTTATGAGTGCCCTGCCCCCATTTTGACACATACATCACGATAAAGTTTTAAAACCAAACACACACACACACTGAAACCCAATTAAATGTATGGTGGGGCCGCCGGCCTTTCAACCCTCGCTTGGCGCTGTGGGGTGGATATCGAATCTCTTACCTTATTGCTGGCACTTGTCCATCAGTCAAGTGGTTTCTGTCCTTGCAACAATATTAAGGATCAAAGTATCCTAAACTACTACAGGATTAAACATTGAAGTGAACATCATGTTGGACAAATATTTCCCCACAGCATCAGTCCAACAAAACGCCCCACCCATAGCTGGTTTCAATGGTTGGTGTTCAACAGTTGATTCAATCAGTAAAGGTGAACTAATATGTCCAAGTACCACAAGTACCCAATTCTACAGAATATCATGAAAGTGAACCGTTCGCTGGAATGGATCTGTTCACTAAACAAGGACTCCCGAACACAGTCCCGGGGCCTGGTGTGGTAGAGCTCAGCCCTGCTCCGGTCGGCAGGGCAACGCATCATGAAGTGGTAGAAGGCCTCCACGTCCTGAAGGGAGCCGCTCGTGAGCCCCTCGCGTGAGCCCAACATGCCTCACTGCATCACCTGTCCCAGGGGAGCACATTTGCTTACAAGATTTTGAACTCCTGCATGAAAAGGTGCCAGAAAACAGGCAGTTGGCCACCTTTTCTTATTGTTTTGGTCCTGTCAACTGCCTGATCCCCCAAAAAATCACCACAACATGTGCATCTCGCGGAATGTTCCCTGCCTTCTCCATGAACAAACGGTCCCACCGACCAGACACTCCATGGGACTGCCATATATGCCGATCAGTTGGGGTGGTTTTGGGGGTCAATGTAGGCATATATTGCATACAGTACATGGAGTGTTTGGGTATTAATAGTATGTTTTTCCTGCAATACACACCGTGCCATTCAAAAAACCATTCTGGCAAATGTTCCACTTGTGGGTACCGCATGAGTAGTGTTGCTTTTCTTTCCTATCTTCCATCCCTCATGAAGAGATTTTGTCTTTGGGAACCCTCCTCGAGATATAGTGATTGAAATCCCTCCTCATGAAAAGATTTGGTCTTTGAGATCCCTCCTCATGAAGAGGTTTTCGTCTTTGAGAGCTCTCCTCATGAAGATATTTACTCTTTAAAGTCCCTCCTCATAAAAACAAAAAATGTCTTTGACATCCCTCTTCATGAAGAGCTTTTGTGTTTGAGATCCCTCCGCATGAAGGGAGTTAGTGTGTCCCCTACTCATGTAGTCTTTGAGATCCCTCCATCAGAAGAGATTTTGTGTTTGGGAACCCTCCTCGAGATGTACTGATTGACATCCCTCCTCATGAAAAGATTTATTAGTCTTTGAGATCCCTCCTCCTGAACAGATTCTCTCTTTGGGATCCCTCCTCATGAAGAGATTTTGTGTTTGAGATCCTTCTCATGAAGATCCCTCCTCACGATGGATCCCCCAAAAAAGAAACATCAACATGATTCGGTTTCCAGACACGCAGACCTTCCGATGTTCTGGGAGGGGTTAATAATTGATCACGACAAAAGACTGAGCATCCCCATCACGTTCAACCAGGGCTACGAGTTGGCATTGTGAATATAAAACAAAGCTATCTGATGCTATTTCAATCTATTTCGCAATGGCCCAATGGAAGGTCTTTCCCATTCTTGATATTTGCCTCAACTGGATGCAGTCCTCACACAGGTTCTGCCAGCTCGGGTAGGGCGCGAAGAGCGTGGGCACAGTGAGCCAGCAAACACATGCGAAGATGATGGTAATCATTGGCCTTGGCAGCCCCGGGTCCCGGCAGTGGTGATTCCACCTCCTTTTCATGGCTGGAAAGAAAAGGTTCACACAGGCGAACCCTTTGACAACTTGCAAAGCTCCTCAAGCGAGAAAAGGACACACGTCATGAAGCCAGTTCCATTGGAGCAAAAGAGATATGAGATATCCATCCATTAAATTCCATCAACACTCCCCATAGTCATTCATAGTCTGTAGCTGCTCGGAAAACTGCTGTCTGATTTTGTAGACGGCATGAAGGCCTCCCAACAGTTCTATACCCTGCCACCTCTGGGTCGACTTCAACTCCCTCTTGCCTTATTCTATCTCATTCTTCACAAGAGTCCATTGTTTTGACCATTTTGGACGGCTCAAAAACAAAACTTGCATCCAACATGCTAAAAAAGCATGTGCTTCGACCCTCTACAAACCACTTATCAGAGATCCCACCTTCGACACTCGCTTCGGGTCGAGACAGTGGCGCAACGCACACCGTGGCGCGTGGCGCAAGTCCGCCAAGGCACAGGGCGCCGGCAAGGCCCATGTTGGCACTGCGGTAGAGTATGTAATAGAAGAGGAAGAGGCAAGCGTCCTGCCGCTCAGAGCGGGAAAGAAAGAGGCTTTCTGAACCAACATGGGGGAGTGGACAACCATTCTTCAGGGAATCCAAGTGAATCCATTCTGGGTGAAACATCATTTGCACGGTATGACTCGTCATCATCTATTTTTCTTCGTTCCAGCCATCGCCGGGGACACTGACCATGAGCGAAGCTGTTGGCATGAATCAAAAGCATCAGTTAGTCGGTTAGCCGCCTTTTAGAGCTGGTTATGGCTCGTTGGTTCCAAAGCAGTGTGTCATGAGGCGTGACCAAAAACCAAGTCGTCCTCCAAAGTTGTGTCGAAGTGGCCAGTTTTGGATCCAAGCAAGGCCCTGATAGAACAATATGACTTTGCAAGAAAATCTCTGCATGTTCCAAAACGCAACCCTGACACCTACTGACGATGATCCTGGTAGTGCATCTGTCGGTACCTCAGATGTGCAGTCAGCTCTGGCAAGTGCAGAAGCAACGAGACTCATCTGAACAACTGGGTGTGCCATACTTCTAGTTGAAAGCCAAAGAGAAGGATAATTCATGCCTTCAACCTGCTGGAATATCGGATAGAAAAACATACAGATCAATTGGTTCAGGATAGGCAGGCCCGTAACAGGAACCCTCTCTTAAAACGCAGCCATCGTTGCAAACTGTGAATGCCTGTGGCACCCAGGATTTGCAAGGTATGCTTTAAGTTCAAAGGGAATTCATGCATAGATCTATTTTGGTAGCAACAATACCTAGAGAAGGTTGTTTTGAATAGTATGTTGGATCGTTGTCACTTTAACTTTTTCTATGAGATATCGATATACATGGTGCAGCGCTTAAGGTATCCGTGTTTCTTGAGATTCTTTGAAGGAGGCCCATCCCATGATACATGTGGTTCATCACTCTCTGAGATACCAAAGACCTTGCGTATTCTGATCCTGTATGATCCTGTCTATAACTAAAGTCTCTGATGCACAGGGTCCCGAGCTCCCTCTGCTAGTCATCAAAGCATCTCGGGTCTGAGTGGATCGCGGTCATGAAGCACAGCTATCATGAAACCGACTGATCAGGTCAGCTCCAACATGCAGGCTATTGGCCAGGTACTTCGAGTAGTACAGTAGTGGCACCAATGTATATATATATATCAAGTGAGTCAAGAGTCAAAAGTGTCTTTCCATCCACATGAAATCCAATCCCCTGTTTGATAGCACTAGTTGCACCATCTACAGTACTTATTTAACAAATATGCATAGAGGTTGATGCAAAAGTATAGTACTTAGATTTGGAGCCAGTTCAGTCCTTAGATTTGGCCCAGGTACTGCAGAAAGGTATCGATCAACGTCAGCCTTGTATTGGCATTCGGCCGCCCCGTGGCTCGATATGTGGCTGTGCCCGTGCGGAGCGCCTGGCTCGGTCACGTCATGACCAGGGCCCAATGGATGATGATGGTATGTAGAAGGCATGTAGGTTGCCATAGTTGGGTGAAACTGTCCACTTACCACCCAACCATGGCAACCCATTGTTCCTCATGTGAAAACCCTATGAAACAAATAGTCAAATAGTGATAGAGTAGCAGTGGAAGTGACATGCAACTCATAACCCAGTGGAACCAAATGCAAGGGAGAGTAGGGACATCATCTATGATGAGAAGGAGGAACATTGGAACATTGCTTGCGACTGGAAAAATCTGCACTGGAAAGATCTCTGCTACACCGCGACATAAAAAAGGCTCAGTATAGTGTGGTTAAACATGAGGGAAAACAAACATAAATAATGGATAGAAAAGTAGATCCCCACTAAACATGTATTGGAGACCGTTTCTCCAGCCTCCGAAAGGTCTGCCATAGTCCGAATGGTCCGATTGGTATCTTGACCCAGAACCCTTCCATTCTCTTCCAAGATTTAGGTGGCTAAGTGATCTGAGCACATAGAAAGTGAACCATTCTTACAATAAAAGGCCAGCGAAGTTGCACCCAGCCGCTGGCATGGAGTTGGTATGAATTCTCCTTCATATCCAACATGAAACAGTTTGTAGACTTCTGACCGGCCGGGCGGTGGTTTCTTTGTCTTTTTAGGGGAATGTGTTCACTCCTGACAGAGTTGTACAGGGCGAAACCATTTCATCCTGATGAACTTGATGTACCCGCCAGTCATCAAGGATTGAGCACAACATGAGGTGCATGTCCAGGTCCAGCCTGTCGCACAGCTGCGGACTTGGTCTTGTTCTGGAAGGTGAAGAACATCAGTGTCAGCGCCCTGGGTGTGGTGAAGCACTGGTTCTGTCAGGGACATCACTTGGTGATGTCCATATGGGTTGATGACACAAACTATATACTCAAACGTTTTGATTGTGAGATATACTATATATAGGGATGTCCTAAATAGAGGCATTAACCTGAAGCCAGTGATTGTCCCTTACCTTAACTTTCTTGATTGCTGCTTTCACACAACGTAAACATATCAAACAGGTCATGACTGGTCTGGCGCAGCCCACAGTTCAACATCAATGTCGACATCAGATCTTTCTTGGGCAACACCCCAGCCCCAATACTTGACCAAGCCACCCTGCAGAGTCCCGCGGACCCTCATGCCCAAAGACTCTAATTTCAGACCAAGTATATTTATATGTAGATCAATACTGATATCTTCATACTGGTAGTGCTAGTAGTTTAGATATGTATAGACTAACCCTGACTACGGGCCAGTGCAGCATCACCCCCAGGGGTTGGATCGGACAACATTGACGAATGATCCCCTTCGTTCGAACCCGTCGCAGCCCGCCCCTTCGCAGCCCGCTGGGCGCAGCGGCCAGTAAATGGATCCAGCCGGCAGAATATCTGCGCCGAAGAAATTCATGTCGGGGAGAGTCGGGAGGATATTGGGATATATGAAGATATTCTCAGGTGAGAAGGAAACCTTGAGACCGGGCGAAACAAACATTTGCATACTTCACCCACCAACTAGAATGATACCAAGATAGATCAACACAAGAAAAAGTCCCCTGTGCTCTTCAGCATGTATTGGTTTCACCTGTTCGACATATTTGGAGATGTTCAGCGGGATTCTAAACATGGGATTTTTCCTATCTGACCATATTTAGGACCCTGACTTTGCCTCTTGGGTAGACCCTTGATGTTTGGGACCAACAGTTCCCAATCTTCAGGAAATCGGCGATGCATTGAAGAAGGAATATCTTGCTAGTGTGGTGAAAATTGGTTTCAATAATTGGTTCACGTTGGATAGTTTCAAAGAGTTCTGTCAGTGATGTATTGGCTCTTGTTCATGGGATCAAGGTGTGGGCCATTGGTGACACGCGGGCATGGGCACCTCACAAGCGGGTACGCCACCTTAACACAACTTGTAGTGACTCGTACTTGGAATCCAGGTGCCAGTCAAAGTGGTGAAAAAAATCCAAGCTCTTCTCAGCTGTAGCAAGTTGGATTTTGTGATTGAATTGTATAGCGCCAAGAGTCCCAAGATGATGTGTTTCCATGCTTATAAATTAACAGTCAAACGAAAACACACGGTTAGACTTTGCAGAAGTGGAATGCAAATCAAGTCCATTGTTTAGTCGCCTGTTTGGGTTGAGCACCCATGCTCTAATATCGGTATAAGGTTTGATAAACGACATGATATTTGATATTCAATGGTATCGAAGTCAATCAACATTTCCCTCGAAAAAACAAACATGTCCACAATGGTTTGTCATATTATGGTTCGTCAATGACCAGTGTGCACATTGACTAGGCTTCAAACCATAAGCAACATGTGGTGGTGATCATATGCGGCTGCTTGTATGTGCGAGACAGCCTAGTGCCGGCTACAGTTGGAAAAGGCAAACATTATAAATGTGGCCTCTCAAGCTTTGTTTCACGGAACATATATAGACAAGCTAGTGGTTATTAATATTCATTCAAGAGGGATTGGCCATTCATCGCGGGAAATATATTTGTTTGCCGGTGCTTCGCGGCCTCATGGCGAAGCAAGGTCCTAGAGCCATCTCTAGCTAACATGTGTTGGAACTATATAGATGTGTATCCGACAAGTAGTGACTGCAGCATGACTGCACACAAGGTTGGTGCTACAGCCACTCTAGCATCAATTGCAGCATCTGCACGACAAGCCTTGAGGAATAGACTGACTAGAGTCAGGCACACCTCAATCCAACCCCTGCGCCAGCTACCAACACGGGGAATTGCAGCTCGGGGAATGTCCACAGGCTGAAACTTTGGAACCTGGAGTTTAACGGTTCATTCACGGAACATTTGCGGATCTTTCACGAACATTCACGGGTGATTTCCCCGATAAGGCAGATCGTGCGCAAACATCTGCACAACCTGTCAGAGCTACAAGTCGTTGCCTCACTGTCAGGGCTGCGCAAGGGCGATGCAGTTGCATTTTGTGAGTTGACTTGGGGAACGACAATCCTGTTATACGCACAGTCAGGGCTGCGCTGAGTTGTCAGGTTGTTAGTCTGTGACAGTGGGGCCAGGAATATTCAGGAATCGGAGAATCATTTACGCACTGTGAGGGCTAGGAAAGGAAACGTTGAGGCTTCAGTTCGTTAGTTAGTCTGTGACAGTGGGAACATGTGGGGACACACACACACATCTGCCCACCTGCTCTGCCGGAGGATTGCCTTGTCTTTGTGGAAAGGAAGTAACATGAAGACCTTCGATAAACATGTCGATTAAACAAAACTAAAACTTTCGCGAACCTCATCACGGATCTTTCGCGGATAGACAACATCTAAAGGTCGTTTTTAGACAACAGTAACCCTTTAGATCAATATGAAAACCAAAATGCAACGTGCGATGTCTACACTCCGTACGATAACCATCTGGCCGCAACCATGTTGTATCTTGTCTGTTGATAATTGGTATTGTGGTTTGATTGTGGGGTAAGTTGTAAAGCCCTTCCAGGTGATATGTGAAACCTATGGAAAACTGTCATTGGAGCAAGAAGGGCACGTCGAAGCGGCTTCAAAACCCATTCCACGTCACTCGAAGCAAGGGATACTCCCATTTGTCCTATGCTCCAACTCAAAACCACACGAGGACACAAAGCAACAGGTTGCAAACATCCGCCCATGTTCCTAATCCTAGGAACACCCCTGAGTGCCCCAGGGAAGCCGCCCTCCCCCAAAAAAAGCCGCCCGTCGGAGGCGCACGTGCAGTGGAGTCAAAGCCGACGATGATACGGCGGAAGCCCTCAGAGAGACCCCCATACTCCAAGAGCCCTTCGAACCTGGCGAAAGAGCGTGGACTGTGGAGAGACACGCGGACTGTGACATGGATGAGACTGCGTGGGCCACATGGCGGTGCGGTGAGCGATGTCGAGTGACCTCTCGATATATTATATAGATATTGATAGATAACATTATAGTATAGTCTGTATATAGTTATATATAGAAATGTAATAAATATATGTGATTTCTTGTGATTGTGTCTTATTCTATCAATGCTGCTCTAGTTTGTGATTGTGTTCTATTCTATCAACGCATCAAGTAGGTTCAAAGTGGATAGCAAACCAATGCCTGACGGCTTGTTTGCATACTAGACTACTTAGCTAGAGATCCATCTATATAAGTCACCTGTGTTGGGTTGTGTGCGATTCGGATGGTTGATCATGTGGTGTTTTACTCCCAAATAGAGAACTATAGAGAACCACTTTGCAAACCAAAACACAGGCCTGTGACAAGCAAAAGCACCAGCATTCTGAAGCATCATTGTTTTATGAATCATCCATATCAATATCCATATCTTATGATCCACCGAAAGGTATCAATTGAGAGGAAAACCATGCAAAAAAAGATACAGTCTACTGGCCTCCACCCTAAAGTAGAATCAAATCTGTGAGTCAGGCCCTCTGCGTATGAATGAAAAATGGCCGAGAAACCCTGGTGAACATCCAGAAATGAAGAGACTGGTTCAACTCGACACGTTCACAAATTCCAGCTTTGGGGGGGGGAATCTATCTCAACATCGCGCCACATGCGTCTTCAACACCTCGCCAGGTCTCTGCTTATTTGGCATAAACAGAAGCGTTTTCGCTGTGGCTAAGGCGACTTCTAAAAAAACATCAGTGACCAATCCAACAGTAGCTTGGTGTGTGGAGAATCTATTTCCTCGTGATGAAGCAAAAAAGGGATTCCACCGATTACACCCTAGTTCCCTGGTACAGTCATGCTTCTCCACCAAATCTACAAGCCGACATAAGTCTATGACCCCCAGTAATCTCCACCTGAAGATCGCTCGCTATTTACAGTGGATCCATGATGCAATGGACCACATGCCGTTTGCCACATGCCAGAGGGACAGTGGGGGCAGGTACCTGGCGTCACAGGACCCATGGAACTTCAAGTCATGTAGTAGCGTCCTTGCTCCTGGAAGAAAAGGAGTGAATACCCGAGTTGAATATTCTCAACTCCTGGGTTAATTCTTTATCTGTTGAAAGCTATCAGCTACCCCCTGAGAAGTATTAACTCCCAAGTTAATTCTTGGTACCATCCCTATTGTAGAAGAATCAACTCAGGATTTAGTTATATTTATGTGCCCCCTACCCAATGTGGTACTTTATTGCTATTTGGGTCCCTTCAAAAAGAATTAAATCCTGAGTTGATTCTTTTGTGGGCACAATGGTGGAATAGATTTTGTGTACAGGTTGTTTTGGAAAAGAATTAAATCCCAAGTTGGTTTGGAAAAGAATGAAATCAAGAGTTAATTCTTTTCCAGGGCTGCCATGTCCTACCAATCCTCCAACAATCTTCTACTTTCTCTCTTTCTCATACAAACC